TTTTTTTTTTTTCTTTTCTCGTTTTCTCCCGCGGAGAGCCGACCGGCATCCCCGTGACTTCGCTGAAAGGTGACGCGCCACGGAAACCAGTCCCAGGACCAACGAACCGTTCCCTTTTATCTAACCACCGTTTCCGCTAACGAGACGCGTTAGTTAATACGAACGATAGCGCGGTACACGCGTACTCAATTCGATCGATTCTTCGATAACGAGTGCTCCTTCTACTTTTAGCTATGTTTTGAAATTGGATGGTAGATTCATTGTTTTATTGAGAGAAGAAAATGATTTATATATTCAAGATATTAAATTGTTTAACTTTTAGCATTTTGCAACCGTTGCCTTTTATACACGATAGTGTGATACATTCGATAACGAGTGTTGCTTCTCTCTATCTACTTTTAATTATGTTTTGAAATTGGATGGTAGGTTTTATTGAGAGAAGAAAATGATTTATATATTTAAGATATTAAATAGAATTAAAATTGTTTAACTTTTAACATTTTGCAACCGTTGCCTTTTATATACGATAGTATGATACATTCGATAAATTCTTCGATAACGAGTGCTGTTTTTTTTTGCTTCTCATTTTTAGGTATGTTTTGAAATTGGATGGTAGGTTTATTGTTTTATTGAGAGAAAATGATTTATATATTCAAGATATTAAATTGTTTAACTTTTAGCATTTTGGAATTGTTGCCTTTTATATACGATAGTATGATATACATTCGATAAATTCTTCGATAACGAGTACTGTTTTTTTTTGCTTCTCATTTTTAGGTATGTTTTGAAATTGGATGGTAGGTTCATTGTTTTATTGAGAGAAGAAAATGATTTATATATTCAAGATATTAAATTGTTTAACTTTTAGCATTCTTCGATAACGAGTGTTGCTTCTTTCTGCTTAGTTATGTTTTGAAATTGGATGATAGGTTTATTGTTTTACTGAGAGAAAAAAATGATTTATATATTTAAGATATTGAATATGGTTAAAATTGTTTAACTTTTAGCATTTTGCAATCGTTGTCTTTTATATACGATAGTGTGATATATTCGATAACGAGTGTTGCTTCTCTCTGTCTACTTTTAGCTATGTCTTGAAATTGGATGGTAGGTTTATTGTTTTATTGAGAGAAGAAAATGATTTATATATTCAAGATATTAAATTGTTTAACTTTTAGCATTTTACAATCATTGCCTTTTATATACGATAGTGTGATACATTCGACAACGAGTTGCTTCTCTCTGCCTACTTTTAGTTATGTTTTGAAATTGGATGGTAGGTTTTATTGAGAGAAGAAAATGATTTATATATTTAAGATATTAAATAGAATTAAAATTGTTTAACTTTTAACATTTTGCAACCGTTGTCTTTTATATACGATAGCGTGATACATTCGATGAATTTTTCGATAATGCTGTTTCTCTTTGGTCACCTTTAGACATTTTATGATTATTATTATTTTATTGTTGTATTTCGAAAGAAAACGATTTATATATTATCGGTTTAAAATTGTTAAACATTTGGCATTTTAATCGGTCGAAATTGTTATTGAACGAAGTGCAACCTTTCATACGATGACCATTTCCCTTAACGAGACGCGTTAATTAATTCGAACGATAACGTGGTACATTCGATGAATTCTTCGATAGCGAGTGCTGCTTCTCTCTGCCCGCTTTTAGATATGTTTCAAATTGGACGGTAGATTTCGTTTTATCGGGAGAAGAAAATGATTTATATATTTAAGATATTAAATCTTAAAATTAAAATTGT